AGTGGCTACAAGTTTGGACTTTTTGAACTGTTTAGTTGGTTACTCTGAAGAAAACAACTTTTTTTTTTGTCCTTGCAACAGAGTCTTACTCCATTGCCCAGGCTGGAGTGCAGTGGCACAATCTCAGGCTGGTCTCGAACTCCTCACCTCAAGTGATCCACCCCCGTCAGCCTCCCAAAGTGCTGGAATTACAGGTGTGAGCCACTGTGCCCAGCCACTAAGTAGCATTTTATGACTGGGTTTATTAAAGCAGAGAATGTCAACTTTGATCACCAGTACAATTTGAACAAAAACTTGAGACGTTGTCAAAGTTGCCCACTCCAACGAAAAGGATTCTTAGATCAGGTTTTGTCAAGTTACCGGCAGAAGCTACTGAATGCGATATTTATTTCTTTGTTTGTTTGTTTATTTATGAAACAGAGTCTCTGTCACCCAGGCTGGAGTGCAGTGGTGTGATCTCGGCTCATTGCAACCTCCACCTCCTGGGTTCAAGCGATTCTCTTGCCTCAGCCTCCTGAGTAGCTGGGATTACAGGCATGTGCCACCATGCCCATCTCATTTTTGTATTTTTAGTAGAGACGGGGTTTCATCATGTTGGCCAGGCTGGTCTCGAACTCCTGACCTCAGGCAATCCACCAGCCTTGGCCTCGCAAAATGTGGGGATTACAGGTGTAAGCCACTGCACCCGGCCTGAATTTATTTTCTTAAGAGATGGGGTCTTGCTCTCTGGCCCAGGTGGGAGTGTAGTGGCATAATCACGGCTCACTGTAGTCTCAACCTCCTGGGCTCAAGCGATCCTCCTGCCTCAGCCTCTTGAGTAGCTGAGACTACAGGCATGCACTACCACACCTGGCTAATTTAGTCTTTTTATGAAACCTAAAAAGAATGATTGGTGAGTGATGGCAGTGGGTAAAATTAGTCTTAAAGTTGCAGCAGTGCGGTTCAGCAACTATTAGATAAACTGATTTCAGGTTAGAGGCTGCTTCAGCAGCTAGGCTTGCAGATAATTATTTTTGGAGCAATGCTGTGTACCCTGAGTGCTTTTCCCCTTGACTTTTTGACTCTGTTCTAGCTGGGCGTGGTGATGATGACCCAGCCCAGAAGATCGGTGTTCACAGGTGGGTCACTGACTCTAGACCGTGCGCCTCCTTGTGGTGGTACAGCAGCGGGAAGCATATTTTCCTACGGCCAGCGTTCTCCCAGTTGTCTCACCTCTCACTCCCATGCTGTTGCAAGTCAGCTCTTGCAGGGGCATATTTGATCTCTGGGCACTTAGTGCTTGTTGTTTCATCATTGTGCAAACAGCCGCATCTTGATGAACCTTCGGTGACCAGGAATGTGAGAGAAGTGTGGCTGGACCCCACTTTGGGAAATGCTCTGGACTCCCCTAACATCCTGGGGACTTATAGGGTTCCTTCACGTGTTTCCAGTTGGAGGCAAGCGCTTCACTTACTTTGGCTTTTGAAAACTATTTCCCTAGCCATCGACGAGTACAAGCCCCAGGATGCTACCACCAACCCGTCCCTGATCCTGGCCGCAGCGCAGATGCCCGCTTACCAGGAGCTGGTGGAGGAGGCGATCACCTATGGCCGGAAGCTGGGCGGGTGAGTGCCTGGACTCGGGAGGGTCCCAGCTAGGCCCTCGCGCTAGTCTAGTTGGCCTTGTTTCCCTCCCTAACTGAATTTTAGCTCTCAAACACCATGAACTCAAGGGAAGAAAAAACCCTTTCTTTCTGCCTGTTTTTGTTTATCAAAGTGTAACCTGCATGGAGTGACCTGCACCCGTGGTAAGTGAGCAGCTTGGAGTCTTGCCAATGTGTGCACACCCTGTGAACACCACCCCAGTCCGGATGCAGGGCACTCGCAGACCCCCAGAGGCCCTCCTCCCCTTCTGCAGTCAGTCTCCCCAGCTCTGGTAATACTTATCTTCTGGCTGTCATTTTATTTTATTTTTTATTTTTCAGACAGAGTCTCACTCTGTCCACCCAGGCTGGAGTATAGTGGAGCGATCTTGGCTCACTAGAACTTCTGCCTCCCTGGTGCAAGTGATTCTCCTGCCTCAGCTTCCCAATTAGCTGGGATTATAGGTGTGCGCCACCACTCCTGGCTTTTTTTTTTTTTTTTTTTTTTGAGACAGAGTTTTGCTTTTGTTGTCCAGGCTGGAGTGCACTGACATGATCTCGGCTCACTGCAACCTCCACCTTCTGGATTCAAGTGATTCTCCTGCCTCAGCCTGCCAAGTAGTTGGGATTACAGACATGAGCCACCATACCCGGCTATAATTTTTGTATTTTAGTGGAGACAGGGTTTCACCATGTTGGTCAGGCCAGTCTCGAACTTCTGACCTCAAGTGATCCGCCTGCTTTGGCTTCCCGCAGTGCTCAGATTATAGACACGAGCCACCGTGCCTGGCTTTTTAATTTTTTAATAGCTTTTATAACTCCCAGAATGTTCTCTGGCACCTGTTTGCAGTAGGTCCCACCCCCTTACCCAACCAAGCAACTGTAGAGCACTCTTCATGCCCATGGCTTTGCATATTTTAGATGCCATTTTAGATTCTCTTCAGGGTAATAATTCAAAGCTTGAAGATGGTGCCGAGCAGGCAATGTGGGCACCACACAGGAGCAGGTCCCTTTCTGGTACTGGTTTTGCATAGGTGCAGGTGGCTGGTGAGTGGCTCCCCTGACCATGTGTGAAAGCCACTCTGGATGCTGAGTCTGACCCTCTCCTCTCTCATCTTAGCTCCCCTTTCCTCCTCTCGTGGTGTTGCGCCCCTGTGGCATCTGCGAGGCCTTGGTGCTCTTGTTATTGGATGACACTGGTGCCTCTGCTTAGCTGGGTGATCAACAGATGAGCCCTGCCCCCATGTCCAGATGGCCCAATAATTTTTTTTTTTTTTTTGAGATAACGTTTGACTCTGTCACCTAGGCTGGAGAGCAGTCTCATAATCTCAGCTCACTGCAGCCTTGATGTCCTGGGCTCAAGCCATCCTCCCACCTCATCCTCCCAAGTAGCTGGGACTACATGCAGGTGCACGCTACCACACCTGGCTAATCTTCGTATTTGTTTGTAGAGGCAGGGTTTTGCCATGTTGCTCTGGCTGGTTTCGAACTCCTGAGTTTGAGCAGTCTGCCCACCTTGGCCTGCCAACGTGCTGTGATTACAGGTGTGAGCCATCGCACCCGGTCTGGCCCGAGAATTCTGACCCCCGAGCATCTCGCTGAAGGGCTTCCTGTGTGTAGTGGGCTGACGAGGCCACTCAGATTTTGGAACAGCATCATGGACTTCACCTAGTGTCTGTCCAGTGACTGAAGAGATGGAAAATATAATATTTTGCAAGTGCCAAAAGATAGAGGGATGCAGTTTGGGATGATGAAAAGAGCTCTGGAGATAGATGGTGACGGTTGTACAGAATTGTGAACGTGCTGAATATACTGAAAAACGGCAGGTTGGGGGCAGTGGTGCACGCCTGTAACCCCAGTGCTTTTGTAGGCCAAGATGAGAGGATCCCTTCAGCCTAAGAGTTCGAGAACAGTCTAGGCAACAGGGCAAAACTCCCTCTCTCCAAAAAAATTTAAAAATTAGCCGGGCATGGAGATGTGCACCTGTAGTCCCAGCTACTTGGGAGGCTGAGGCGGGCGGATCACTTGAGCCCAGGAGGTCAAGGCTGTAGTGAGGCGTAATCACACTACTGCACTCTAGCCTAAGCGACTGAGTGAAACCCTGTCTTGAGAAAAAAAAAAAAAAAAAGGACAAGATGGGAAATTTTACATTATATGTATTATTTGGCTACAATAAAAAAATGTTTTAAGATAAAAAAAAGATGGAAGGAAATTTGGCAAAGAAATAACAGAATTCATTTTGTAGACTCTTGTGCACTTGAACCTTAGAAGCTTCTAACCTGCTTTTTTCCCTTTGAATTTCAGGTCACAAC